GATCGCGTAGTCTTCAATAAATCGACTATAATAGTTCAGACTTCCCAAAAATGATTGTATAGCTCTGAGTGATCCTGGAAAAGCTAGATCAGTCAATGCAGACAGATCTTCGGATTCGCATCCAGTCCATTGTGCGAGACCATGTGCCCGAGATATTCCTCCTCAGGCATTCCCCAAAAGCTCTTAACCACGCTGATCGACAAATTCCACTCATCACACGCCTTGAGTAGATTTTCGACTCGGTCACATAGTTGATCCCAGTCATTGGCTGGTATCAGGATATCGTCGATATATGATCTGCGCCCAAGCACCGATGTCCTCAAACACATCCAGAGTACCCCCGGGATCTTCAGACTTCGGGATCCGAGTGAATCCATATAGCGCGTTGTCGATCATACGTTGATAGATCTGGGGTGCATTCTTCAAACCGAAAGGCATTCAATTCCATTCATATACCCCGAACGGCGTGATAAAAAGATGAGATCAAGCGGGCACGATCTGTCAATATCACCACCCAAAATCCGCTCGCCATGTCCAGAGAACAGTACCAAAGTGTCGACTCCAGATCTTCGAGTAGAGCGGTGATCAAGGGCATTGGGTATATCATCAGTTGTGTCAGGCTGTTAACCAACCGATAATCAATGCATAGCCTGATATCCACCCCATTCTTCTTAATGATCACCACGATTGGGGAAGCCCATGGTGATCTGGAGTAGTTGATCATCTTAGCAGACAATAGGCCCTTGATCAGGTCTACCAGCTTCTCCCTGAACTGGATCCGCAACTTACGGCACTTGAGGGCGATAGATCTCGCTCCCCCGACATCGATATCACACACCAGGCCTCTAGCTGCCGGCGGAAGGGCATTTCCTTTACCAATCAAGAGATGTCGGAACTCCCAGATCTTTTGGCGAAGTCGCTCAATTTCCTCCGGAGTCTGATTATCAGATCCGCATAGTTGGATATCTTCGATCCTCACATCTTCCGTCGTCACAGGTACGTCCGGCAGTACCGCCATCTGACCATCGACGTCTTCGGCGTATAGATAACTTCCTTAATGGTAATACACGCATTCATCATGATCTTGATCTGAGTCCCAGGTAAGGTCCAGATTCGGTGTGCCTGGTTGATCTTCGACAACAGGTGATGGATCCGTGTCCGTTTTTGGGACGTAGATGCGGCGCACTTGTCGTTCAACGGATCACCGGTCACATGTCCTGTCTCAGGCTGTACACTCATCATTGATGGCAGGAGGTCCGATCCGCCACCTTTCGACGGCGATGTTCCTTGATCTCGGCCTCTCGCATGTAGTTGATCCAGACTGACCTCCTCAATTTCATCTCGGTCATCTTCTTCACGCCTTCCTTCCCTGTCTGTAGCTTTCCCCGCCAGCGGGTTAGTCGTCCATAAGTCCGGTGTCACTTGATTGCGATCTTCTAGCGCCTCCTTGGCCGTTATGGCATGCGATATAGAGTCTTCGTCTGCGACGGACGACAGATCCGATTCCTCACTCGCGACAGACGCTAGATCCAACGGTCGCATCTCCGACGGCGACTTGTCCGACGGCGACTTGTCCGACGGCGACTCGTCCGAAGGTGGGCAGTCAGGAAAATCTTGATCCTGACTCGCCTCGACCTTCCGACACTGGATCAACGTTGCCTTCGGCCTTTGGAGCACTGCGCGTGGAGTTTCATACTCGGGCCGCTCCACCGCGGGCACCGGCGGAATCTTGATCCCCCATTTCTTCGGATCGGGTGTCTGTCGTAGCTTCCAACGCTAGATTCTGCCACTCCATGTAACGACGAGAGCCGATTGAGACAAACACTGGTATCCGCGGCACATGATCCCCAGCCAGCCAGACCCTGATCCGTTGGTCTTGATGCATGATCATTACCTCGTCCCCGATATTGGTGATCGAGATGTATTTCGTCCGCCCTGGTCCACTGGATATTGTTGGCACCCATTGATCCCCACGCGTGACTCACAGCTTGTCGTGGATCGATGACCTCAGGCGCAATGGTAGTTCCACCGACTCCCCTGCTTGGATCCGAAGATATTGGCCGACGTTAACGATCTTCGCCTTGCCGCTATAAAGCTGTCGCCTTCCGCTAAGCTGGATCCGGACTTCGTCCGGCAAACTGATCGATACATGGGCAAGATCTAGGCGGATCCCAGCTGGAACCATGAAGTCCATGCCGAGTATAGCTTGTTGGCCGGTCAGATCACCCACCCAGATATTGAAGAAATACACTGATGATCCAGCGAGAGTTACCTTGATCCGGGTTCTTCCTTTCGTTTGGTACACATTATCTCCAATTCTCACACAGTTCTGGATCTGGCTCGAGTCGATATAGCACCCAACCTTACGAGCAAAGGCGGTGTCCACGATGGACACCTCGGCGCCGGTATCTAAGAGTAAGATCGCCTTCTCATTGTGGATATTGCCTGTGATCTTCTCCTGGCGAAACCATTTACCTGGTGAATGATGTTTCCGGTAACCACGGGACTCCCCTGGTAGCGGATCCATGGTTGTTGACTGCCGATACTCCGCGATCTTGCTAGGCCTTTGGGTCTCCGGAGTAACTTCATGATCTGCAGGTTTAAACCACAGATCTGGATCCTGCTGTCTCCAATACCCTCGTGATTCTCCTGGCTGGAGATCTACGCTCATGGTGACTTCGGATCTGGCATATTCATCGACTTGGCGAAGGCTTGAAATTGCGAAGGTGCGTTTCCCATGCAGATCATGTGTATTACCGTGTAGATCTGGTCTTTTGCTAACCTGATCTACCGATGTCTTGTTCACAAATGCATAGATGCAGTACCTAGAACGCTATCGGATTCCACCCCGACGAGCGTCCTAGCTTAACATCTTCTCAGCAGCTTCGGGTAGCATACCCATGTGCTTCGTGGGTTTAAACCATTGACGGATCTGGTTATAGAACTCTTCCATCGGGCATTTTCCCATGTCATGCAGTTCTCCACATCCTCGACACACGAAGAGACAGTGACCCGAAGGGTGTCCTATCTTGCCGCACTTCGTGCACGTCACACGCCTCCAGCAACCAAGATCCGAGTGCTTTCTGGATCCGCAGTGTGAACACCGATCGCGGATAAACCCATTACCGTGCTGTCTACGTCGGAGTCAGATCCGTCCGATCCACCAGATTCGCTGTCAGATCCAGAGTCGTTGGCTTGGATCTGGACCGCGCGCACTTGCTTCGCTCGAGCGGACGAGGCGGAATTGGTAGGCTTCTGCCGGTACTTGCTGGATCCGAACGCGGCCTTCTTTTGACGATTCTTAGGGCGATCTCGAGCTCGGAGGACTTCCTCACCATCATCTGCGTCAGTCATCCGCAGCAAGGTTAGCCTCTCTGCCAGATCTTGATCCTCGAGCGTCTCGATGTAATGATCAACATGTTCGCGTCGTTCCTTCGCATTGCCATCCTTGATCTTCAATCTCGCACGGAGTCCCGCCACATTGAGTCGATACAAGTAGTCCAGCGGCGACTCGTCGGATCTGCGTCGTGTATGGTAGTATTGTCTTGCTACCGATACTCCAAGTCCGCAGTACTGGATCTGGAAACTTCGTAGCAGATCACTCCATTTATTGCGAGTAGATCTACTCAGCTGGCGATACCAGTTCTTCGCGGGCCCCGCGAGAAGATCCGCGAAGGTCAAGCATTTTTCTTCGTCTGATGCTTGATCCCGCATGAACGCAGACTTGACTTTGCTGATCCACGCTCGCACTCGATTTTCGTCTTGATCTTTGCCAGTGAATTCCTTGAGATCTGAGATCGCCGAGATCCGGACTCGTCGGATCATGGTGGAACCTGTGGATCCGGCGGTCGCGGTGGCCACAGTGGCTTGTGCCGAGGTGGAAAAATCTACATCGCCCGGGTCATACTCCCAGCGGGATCCATGACCAGAAGATCGAATGGATTACATCTCGACATCTTGTGATCCTTGATGCTGTAGACGTGTAGAGGCTGGATCTTTGTTCGCCTCTCGTACTTCGGCCAGATATCGGTCCATTGCAGCATTGAAGAATTTCTGCAAGGTACCGACTGATCGGTCTGAGCTTTCGGTGACCGTGGCCTGATCTGTAGGGGCGGATCCGTTGTCGTGGCGACTGCGCGGCGGATCTTGGATCTCGCCTCCAGCATTGATGCCCCAGAGGGTCCTAGGGACATTCGTCGCGGTGGCTCCGAGGAGGTATCAGATCCATCTTCTGCGGCTGTCGCATAGTGTGACGACACTGTCAAGTTATCGACAGCGTAGGTTGTGGTCAGTGGCAGTGGATCCGGACTCTAATACCTCGCCGACTAGGGTTTTCAACTTCTGGAACAGATCGCGGCTGGTAGATTGGATCACCTCAAGATCCAAGTCGAACAGTGTGTCTGCGGCGAAGGATCCAGGGATCATACCAGCCTCTCTCAC